CGGGCTGAAACTATAGCTACAAGCTATCCAAGGATGGTACTATAGAATGTCACCTCAAGGTAGGCCTAGTGGCGTCATCTCTTGGTTAGACCGGAAACTTATCAATCCACCCTCGTATGTCTATCGAAACACCACTTATTGAGAGATTCTAGTCTCTCGTTCAGATTTTCGAGTCTCTCGTTCAGAGATTCGAGTCTCCCTTTCAGAGATTCGAGTCTCTCGTTCTCGACAGTCTCTCTCAGCGACACCTGAGAGACTCGATGAGAGACGGGGGCTCGAGTCTCGCTTTCAGAGACTCTGAGAGACTGAACATTTTATCTCGAGATGCCAATTTACAAATAATGATTCATGGATCCATATGTTAATCCTATTTTATGATGTTTCTAGGAAAATTATTTTAAATTGGTGATCGACTTTAAGAAGGTTTCAAGCACATACAACTTTCCGTAAAGACCACTACAGATATCATAAAAATTGTACCTTTAGAAGTGAAATGCGTTGAACAATAGCTTAATATATCATTCCGTTTCATACAAGGCGTGGAAATGTGCAAATTTATGAGCTTGACACAAAGCGATTTCCTTGTTAAGAATCGCATTCTTCCTCTACAATAACACCGGCGACTCCGCTAATACCGCATCTGAAATGCGTGGATAACAGAACGAAATTTTACAAACTTGTTACATGGCTTTCCTTCTCTATTTCCTACAGTAAAAAGAAGAAGACATCCGATGCTTAATTAGCAGACTGTTGCAATTACGATTCAAATATAGAAGCAAAACTAGGTCGGAAAATAGGGATTTCTGTTTACTGTAAGTGAGTATTTCGTTTTAAACGCCATGGCCCCTGTGCTAGGAAACTACCGACACTAATTACGATTAAAAAGTAAAGCGCTTTCTAAGTAGTCCTGGGCATTCTCTAACTTAAAATAATCCAGATGGACTCTGCTGAATTAAATAAAGCAGTTTAACTCTTTATGAACTCAACCAGCGAGCAGGAAATGCTGTTAATTACCGCCGTCAGTTGTGTTAATATACTTTAATATATATATAAGAAACTGTACACTTATACTGAAAAACAATTTCCTTATAGGCAACCATTTAATTCTTATTGGAAAAGCGTACCGCGCGTCCCACTATTAATACTTTTCCCTTACGATTTGGAAATATTTTTGCTGTTTTTTTTACGTGATTTGCAAAAGATCAACATTATTAAAGACAATACAACTGTAGGGTTAGATATACAGGGGCAAAAGATTAGTATGCTTAGATTTGCAGATGATGTAGCAGTATTAGCATCTAGAAAGGAGGTGTGAAAGATAGCTTTAAATAAAATGGAAGCGCTATTGACAAAACAGTACTGTACGAAAATAAATAAATGTAATACAAAAATACTGGTATGCAAGGGAAGAAAAAGCAGGGAAAGAGGGAATATAAAGATAGGAGATGAAAAACTAGAAGAAGTGGCCTATTTTAAGTATCTAGGAAGTGAGATAAGTCAGAACGGAAGGAGTAGTAGGGATATAAAGCAGAGGCTAGCGTAGGGTCCAGTCGCCTTCAATAAAAAGAAGTCATTTCTATGCTCGCGAACGGTTAATTTAGAAATTCTAAAAAGGTTGTTAAAGGTGTATGTTTGGAGATACTGTGGGTAGAGAAGGTTAGAAATGAAGAGTTATTAGAAAGAATATGAGAACAGAGGACTTTATGGAAGTCAATAAGAAATAGGCGAGATAGGTTGGTGGGACACCTTCTCAGGCATGAAGGTCTAGCCAAAGATATATTAGAGGCAGAAACGGGAGTTAGTAGGGGTAAAGGTAGACCTAGATTAGATTAAGGTTGTGGGATGATCTAGTTTTAGGAAAATGCGAAGATTAGCTTAGGATAGGAAAGAGTGGAGGTGCGTGTCCAACCAGTTGTAGGACTGACGACCTTATGATGGTGGTACTGAACGCTCTGTATAAACGGGGAATAATAGTGGAGCGTGCAACTTTCTTACCGCCACATGCTCAATCTTCTGTAAACGTACATAACTAATAACGTTCTGGGCTACGATATCGTCGTGACGGCGCCGTGCGATGATCTTATTTATGAGAATCGTTAACAATAAAAGAAATACGTGTCAAGCATTAGTTAACCAAGTCGATGACAGTACCCGATTGTATTATATCGAATTCGAAATATACTTCTCGAAAGTGTAGGTGAGTGATGTTTAAAATAGCGAAACGGACCGTTTGATTCTGTCATCGATTCTTCTTATACATTGAAGCGTGGCATGGAATAAATTATAATAATTGTCATATATATTAGATCGAGTAGAAAATTTAGTAGGTACAGTGGAGTTTGTGCCATTTTACACTGCCAAATTTCGCACAGTTTTGAATAAAATATTTATGTTACTCATACAATGAAATAATTACGCAATATTGTCGTGACTGTGAATGATTAAATGCCCTTTAAGTTCCTATATATATTAGGTAGGCATAAACCTACCCACAATCTGTTAATTTCAGTAAGCACGTAACAACGATGGTAGGAATGCTTAATTATTATTAATGTAATTAATTTTATGAGCGACACAGTAAGCAAATGAATTAAAAAGTGCGTTAGACAGTTCGGGAGATAAATAGCTTCCTCCCACGAACATTAATCACAATGAAACGCTTTCAGGTGTTCAATTTGCCGAAAATGTTTAGAAAAGCGAAAACGTAATAATATTAAATTGGTAGAAGGAGAAGCAAAGCAAATTAATGGTCTTCTTCTCTTTGTCTACAGTTACTTATGTAGTTCAGTAGGCGCTTTCTACAACGAACTGTAATGAATAATACACATAATTATAAACAATAATTAAAGTGTATTCAAGTTTTGCCACAAAATAATTTTTTTACTCTTGAAAACACCATAGAATGTTTTACATGAGTCATCACAGGACGTTTTGCGGAAATCATCGATATAGAAGGAAGTATACATAGATTAGATAAAAATCCTTGCATTAGTAGTTGCACTCAAACTAAACAATAATCAAAAAGCGTTCACTAATGCTAGGGATTCATTTAATAAACAAAACGAATCACCTACTTTTATGCGAATGAATGCGAACCCAAACATAAAATCCGGGAAGACTTTGGAATTACGTTAATAACATAATAACAAAATATAATGGCTTGCCTGAAGTCGCGGTGTCCCTTTTAGTGAACAATTATAGTACGATATTCCTAATAGCTGTAGATACATGACGCCCATTACATTGGTCGAAGGAACAATTCGTTTCAATCAATCATAGTCGAAAGATTTCGTAATAAAATAATGATGGTACTGTACTAGTACACACATGTAAACATCTCCACATAAATCTTACATTTAACAAGCTAGCTCGTTTGTATGCCGTCATCAGAGATTCCGGGCCCAGGTGATTTGTATTTGCCGCTTGACTTCATTTTCTAAATTGTCTTCACGCCATTTGTTTAATGTATCGCACAAATCTGTTCGCTGGTGTACACCTCTTGTAGCAACACCCGAACGATTTCCAGAATATAATAGCAAACATCATCTCTCTAATGTTACAAACAATATCCTTAAGCGATGATTAATGTCATCGTGAAGACATTTACATATAAATATGCAGATATATACAATAGGATGTTACATTTCCGTAGATAAAGCGTTACAATTTAATGGACGAATTTATTGATCGATCTCAACCGCATTGCCTTCGAGTTATTTTTTCGCCATTCAGCCATACGCAACGGTACAGTAAACACTTGACTCTATTTATTTTTTCACGATCCACCAGCACAAATAAGACAGACGATTTCGTGTTCAAGAAGTTGATTTGTTGTGGATCTGGTGGATGGTGTTTGTGTTTACAGGATTTCCTACTATTGGCTACCCTTTTCTAAAAACAAACGAAACAAGCGCACCAACGGAAATCAAATGTGCTTTGTAAACATGCAACAGTCAAATGTTTTTCAGTTTCTAGGTGCTTTTGGATTTAGATTCACAATTAACAACAGCACACAACATGATTATCTTCATAGCTTGCAAATAGTTTTCGATCTCTGTTTTCTAATTACTACATTTGTGGTTAAAATTGATTATATTTACAATCCTACGTATATTATGTGTTTCATAAAAATTAATCTTTTTATTGTACCGTCTCTGTCGTCGTGGTGTTAAGGCGGTAATAAAAATTCACTTTCATCTTACAATAATCCCAGTGTCTTGATACATGTCACTCAGCAGGTTCGGAAACGCTTCAACCGCGAGATACAAGCCAGCTTTTCTTCCAAAAACAAACGAAAGCGAACATGTGCTTGCACAAATTGAGAATTAACTGCCGACGTGACCTCCTCTTTGAAGCCAGTGTGTCAGCTAAAAAATTTGTGTTTTTAATTCTCGGAATATACTGTGCATGCTTTATTCTGCTTAGGTTTTCGGTCAATCTTGTGGAAATCTGAAAGAATTATTTACAATTATCTTTCAAGCACATGATGGTTTTTTAATGTTCACCAAATAGGTCTATTAAACGTGAAGTAAAATTAACATTTCAAACTAATACTGCTTTGTTTATGTCGGCAAATCTATGCCGCTTCTAAAAAAGGGTTTACATCGTCTTTACGCTGATCTAGTACGATTAAATACAAGAGCATATGTTTTCGAAACAGTAGCTAACATTGTTGGAGTATTCTGTAAGGTTTTGTCATTTTTATTGCATCAACAATTAAAGTCTCCATCACTGTATTTAAAATATTGTCACTTATGGGTTCGAAATGAGAATGAAAATTCTGGATTTATCTTGAATTATATATATGTAATGGATTATAGTGGATGATAAATTGTCCCCCGCTGTCTCCGTCTACAGATTGATGATAAATTTTGTTGCTAATATAAAAATGACAAAAAACATACCAAGAGGATTCCCTACTTTATTTTTTGTATTATTATGTGTAGTTTCGTTTTTCTACTGTGTGCGACATTGACTGATGTTATTACGTTTTGTTGCAGATAAAATGCCTTGAAGGAAGATGTTTTTACGGGGGGATTCTCGTTATATAACACGGGAGAATGTGGAGGGTTCGATTATTAAGACTCTTGATATCATTCCTCCTCCTTCTGACTATTAGCGATGCCGTTGATCCATGTAAGTTATTAGAAGTAGAATCTTATTGAGCCTTTATCGCATATTTTAAAGTATCTCATGCACTTTGTGTTTCAAAATTCGTTAGGTAGAAACTGAGATATAAAACAAAATAATTGCAAATGTCTCCGACAATTTGTTTCATCGGAATCGGTTAGGTAAAAGCTGAGATATAAAAACAATAGACAGGATTGTACGCAAACTTTCTACAGACATATATTTTAAGGCATGTCCGGCCACTTATCCAATCAGAAGGATAGCAATAGATTAAAGGACGTCTCACACGTTACTGCATCAGAATCGGTTAGGTAGAAGCTGCGATATAAAAGTAAATGAATGTTGTACCTATTGTGGAGGTATTATTTAAAATAAATAAACTAAATACAAAAATTATATATTTTAAGACGTACCTTTATCAGGTAGGTACAGTTTCCGATATTCTAAGGAGTATTAAGAATCGATATTTGACAATTGAGATATGAGAATTTGATACTAATGTATTGAAATTTAATGCAAAATTCGTGGTTAAAATTCGAAACGGTAAAGTACGAAAATTTATGGACTGAAGTCGTAGATATATACATGCAGTTTGTGTAGTTTACATTGCAGTTGGATAGAAGGCGAAAGTGAATTCTGGACGTGTGGATGCAAATGAGTTGAAATGTATTCTATCGTCGTGCGGAGGCAGCCACGCAACGAACGGTTCAAAACCACTCAACATAATGTAATTTTTCTACATTGTGAAATTTATCCCTCGAGAAAGATAGAAAAAGATCCGAGGGGAGAGACGGTCGAGCAGTCAACCCGTTGCACTATGAACGGAAGCAAATGCATACTGATACGATCTCTGACAATTTCTGCAAACTGCAATTCAATTTTAGTATTTTTCATTCGTTTAAGTGTCGATGTAGGATGTATGTGAAATGGAAAACAGGAATAACGAGTTACAATCCAATAAAATTCACATCAAAAATGAAATTTATCACCAAAAGTGTAAATAATATAAATATAGCAAAATCGACTCTTTAAGGTTCTTATTATTTCTAAAGTAGTGTAAACATATTAATTATGGTTTTGTTTGATTACAAAAAATGGAAAAGCAGGCTCCATTGTTTATGTATTATTAAATTAATTTTTAAATTAATTTTACCCACTACAGATAANACATCTTCGGGTAAATTTATCAATCCCTTTCTATATCGTATAACCACAAAAAATTTGAGAGATTAATTACTATAATTATAAAAAATCATTTTATCTTCTTGAATTTATGTAATTATTGTAATTTATATACTAGGGCTCAAGCTAATCGTACGTCTAGTGACAAAATTTTAGTGCTTTCAGTTTTTGCTTATTAGACGGTAGCCTTCGACGTGTTTTTAGTATGATGATGAGTAGAACTTTTTACACATAAAACGCATGTTTTAACAATTCTAATTTTCATTATCCGGCTCGAAGGACCAAATTTTTACGCTTCTATATTTTTATTTTTAATATTAATGTGGAAATTAATTTATTGTTTATCCACTACAAAGTATCAATTTTTTATACACAAAAAACATGTTCTGAATGAAATACAAGCGAAAATAGAGCCTCCTGGTTTTGAGCTACTACTGAGCCTAAAAGTTTGAAAAAGCATGCAAAAGCTAAAGAAAATCATAGTACACGAATTCTGCAATAAGCTTATCTTTTTACCAAACTCCCACTTGACTGTTTTTACTTTTAACGTTCTGCTATTTGCTACAATATCTGCAACTGTTGTTGTTTCATGGTTTCTTTCCAGCCCAATGCATAGCTCCCCTTGGAATGGAGAGCGGTTCTATTCGAGACGAAGATATAACTGCCAGTTCGTCCTTTGACAGCGGCAACGTGGGTCCTCATCACGGCCGGTAAGTTATGCAAATTCAATTCAATTCTGAACAGACGTTCTAATTTGAATCCGCGAAATTGGCTAGACGTATTAACCAAAGAGTTATTGTTGCTTCTCGCCCGTCCTTCGCATTTCTCAGGACCACTGCCAGGACATCGTCAAAATGATGATGGACCTGGGTTCGGTCCTGAATCTAAAGGCGTTACAACCATTATACATACATGCTTAAGTCTATCGATAATGTTTTAAAAAATACTATACCCAATACTTTTATTAAGAAAATCAGGATCTACTGACTAAATTTGAACCCAATGATTCCCTTTTAAGTTACCCTTTAATGCAAGATTCTGATCTGTATCTTTGTTGTACTTCGTTTAGTAACTGTAGCGATGTGACCTTCAGTTGGAACGGCACACAGTAGAAAAGAATAGCACTAGGCCAGAAAAGAAAGGAGACAACTGTCGGCCAAACTTTTAACCGGTTAGGAGAGTATAATCCGTACAGTACTGCACGGAAAAATTGATCATTTTATCCACTACAATTGCATTGCTCAAATGTGCTGTTATTGGTACCATTTACTACTGAAAATATCAACGAGGTGTTTATTTATATTTGAAGACATATTAAAGGCTTTAACGATTGTTTTCGACTCGCACTACTATTCATGATTGAGCAAAACTTTTGGCAGGTACTGTATGAAAAAGTATGTTTAATGTACAAGAGTCTAGAGTAAAATGAGCTTTTTTCTGCCTACCTACGATTTTGCCAGCGCGCATCCAAGACATTGGAAGGGGAACATCGGTAGATAAAGTAAATGAAGTATAGTATTAAATTAATTTTTTTTAATTTTGTCAATATCTCAGTATACTTACGCCGCGCTAGATTGAATGCCTTTTTCTACCTATGTCCGACTACCCATTTCTCTACCTGTTCAACACTATTTTTTTGGACGGTTTTTATTAGGAATTTGTTTTGTTAATTTATATCTTGAGGAGGATATTTTCGTAAGGATTTATTAACGAAGTGGAAGTGGACATTTTTCCATTGAAAAAGAAGAAAACTTGCATGCTGTATTAGGTCGTTGACAAGGGACGGGAAACAACTAATACGTGGAATTATCCCTACAACCAACAATCCAACTTTCCAAGCAACGTTTATGGAATACAAATAAGGCCATGAATGGCCCGACTTAAGAGTTCGACTTTATTACATCAGCAGAGTTGGATCCCTGTGTTGAATCGCCATCTAACAATGAACTGGAATTCAATAGATCTCACTTCAATAAGTTCTAATACGACAAAATTATGTATGACATGGAAGCCGCAGAACGCGGGGAAAAAACCGATACCAGCGAACCCTTATTATTATTAGCTACCTACCACGAATGCGAAGGCATTTCCCGTTCGTTCCCGTTCAGATGCCGGAACAAGCCGAGCAAATTAGGATTTATATTCCCAATAATAATCCGCGAATTGTACATGATTTATAACCAAAATAATAATGAAAATTTTGCCAGAAATGGAAATTTCTTCCTATTGTGCTTGGTTATGATTTAGGGTTTAATTTGATCCCAAAACTGCAAAGGTTAGATATATGTTTATTGAAGTGTAGCATTTCTCTGTCCATCGTCTGTCTCCATTTTTAAATATTAATGTGAAAATTCATTTTCAATTTTCCGTCTACTACAAACTATCTCAGGTTAATAAAGGATTTTTTTTTCCGAAAATTCATTTTCAATTTTCCGTCTACTACAAACTATCTCAGGTTAATAAAGGAAATTTTTTTCCTAAAATTCATTTTCAATTTTCCGTCTACTACAAACTATCTCAGGTTAATAAAGGAAATTTTTTTCCCGGCGGGGGTGTGACAGCAAGAAAAAAAAATTCCCTCATTAACCTGAGGCAGTTTGTAGTAGACGGAAAATTGAAAATGAATTTTCACATTAATATTTCATATTAACCACTATTAATAATTGTCAGCTCCTTTTTTCATAACTTTTTTACTATTCTGTACAAAACTTCTTTCGCTTTGGCAAACAACTTTTCAAAAATCTCTCAACTTTTAAATGCACATACCTATTAGAAATACAACCAAAAACATGATATTTCAAGGAGATAAAGTTTCAGTTGATCTTCGGTGCTGTTTATTGTTGTTGAATATTTGAATTGTTCATCTGACCGAGTAGTTTTTTCGAGCAGAAAGGTGCGCAATCCTTTTCTGTCCTCGATCAAAAAGAAATTCTCGTCCCGATTCAACTTTTAAAGAAAGATAAATCGTTCAAGAGCACCAATGAACTGTTCAAGCACGACAATTGAAAGTGGGGCGGGAGCACCGTTCTGTTATCTTCATTACTTTCAGCTTTTCACTCGTCGTTACGATGGGATGGGATAGTAAAAGTTTACTTGGTTGCTTGCTACTAACCCACTCGATAGTAGTAGAAGTAGTGAGGGTGATACGAACGATGTGAAAGAAAACAGATTGAACACTTGATACTGGCTTTCTTAAAAGGTCAACGTTCATGGAATGTCGTGGAAATGTTTTTTCAATTTAGTTTTGAATAAAGTGGACCGACTCCCCGGATGAAAATTGACACTGTTCACATATAAATCTCTTCAGAATTGTTTGGTAAACATTTGGCTTTCAACAGATTTTTTGAAAGTGGATCTTTCACTATTATATCAAGAATCCATTGAAGCTTTGGTCCAAAGAAACTTGGTCTTGTTTTTCAAAAGATTGTTGGTCTAGTTCTTGTTTTTGGAAGATGAACATATCGCGAGAATCTTGCTAATGGTTTTCATCTTGGTTTTGCTAATTATTCAGGACAAGACATGGTTCATAACTAAAAGAAAGTAAAGTGAAAACTATTAAATTGTTTTGACTTTATAATCGAGTACTTTGTTGTTTTCCCTCGATTTTTAGCTCAGAGAAAGTAGAATTTTTAATTTTTGAGATGTTGACTTTCCGATAGTGAGTATTCGGTTTTAAACTATTGAATATTTTATAGTTTTTCGTCGGTTATATAAACCGTCTGCCTTCAACTAAGTTAGTAAAAGAAGCATACGTTTCAGGAAACTTGAATTTATTGGACATCTGCCGCGAAAAATTGAACGAAACGGCAATATATCGTTACTTCTGGTTCCATATACCTTGTCGTATCTTTCAATTTCTTATTTTCGAATTGAAACGAAAACCTATAAAACTTTTTACGGTCTCTTCGAATGCATGTACATTTATGGCATGTCCCAGTCATTTCCAATCAATTCAATAGAATATCGTCTTAGTTCCAAGTGGATGGACACACAACTGTCTCCTCTCAAATTTATTTCTACAAGGAATATTTGTTTGATTGAAAAGTATCATACGCTAGTATAAGGTACTTGTGACTTAAGTAATGATATTTTTCATAGGATTATTACGAGAAAAATGTGATTAAAAAATAAACCAATAACAGCGAGCTAAGGCTAGGTTACTTTGGAAACTACGAATGTTTTTTAATGTTAGTAAAAGTATTAATTTTGAATCCAAGTTGACAAAATTTTAGTGCTTTGAACTTTTGCCTATTCCACGGTAGCTTTTGACATTTTAATATCATATTTTAGCAATTTTTGAGAACTTTTTACATATAAAATCTATGTTCGGACAATTCTGATGTTCATTATCCGGCTCGAAGGACCAAATTTTTACGCTTCTATATTAATGTGGAAATTTATTTATTGTTTATCCACTACAAATTATCACAAATTAATGTGGAAAAATTGTTGGTGCTGTCACACTCCCATCGGGAAGCGAACCCGGGACCTATGGCTTTACGCGCCAACACTCTGACCGTGATGGCAATAATTTTGCGAAGAGTATAATGTAGGTCGAATTTTCATGTGTGGAGTGCCTCCTATTTGAACGTCCACTTCCTTCTGTCTGTTTGATTCGTCGGACCATCGTTGAGTATTTCCAATATCCGTAGTAGTTTATCTTCTATCGAACAATTGGTTTTCATACTGAAGAATAGAAGACGGAAAAGGACGGATAAAAGTGTTAGTGAGGAAGTGCAGTAGTCTTGGGGCATTGTACGAGAAGTGCTTTAAGAGTGGTCCCTCGAGGGTGTATCCATTATTCATTGATCCTTTTCAGTCGGGCCTGAATGCCTTCGTGGCTCACATATGCGAAATAAATATTTAGCGTCTGAACGTTGTAAAGAAGCAATTTTGAAGTCTAGCTTCAAATCTGACGCGAACATTACCGATTAATTTTTCATGCGGATTCATCTCGGAGCTTACGTTTCGTTCGAGGTTTCCCATCCGTTCTGTAAATAGGTCTGAAATGAATTAAAATCGCTTTAAAAATTGAAACTCCGAAGCCGTATCTTCGTGTGCCTGGGTCTGTGTGTTGCACACCAAAACCTCTACCACGTATTCTTCTCATAATTGAAAAAGATGGACTACCTAAAGCATTTCCAGTTATTTCATTTTAAAGCATTTTCCAACTTTTTGATTATGATTAATCTGGCAGTTTAGAGTCTAAAGAAATTTTTAAAATGCAAGTAACCTTTAAATAACAAGAATTCATTTCACACAAAATTTAAATGATGTTGTCATCATCATAAGGTAGTTAGTCCTAAGCACGTTTGGACAAGTATCTTCACTCTTTCCTATCCTGAGCTAATCTTCGCATTTCCCTAAAACTAGAACAATCCACATCCTTAACTATTTGTGAACAGTAATCTAATTCAGGTCCACCTGTACTCCTCCTAACTCATATTTCTGCCTCTAATATGTCTCAGACTAGACCTTTATGCCTGAGAAGGTGTCCTACTAATCTATCTCGCCTATTTCTTATTGACATCCATAGAGTCCTTGCTTCTCCTATTCTTTCTAATATCTCTCCATTTCTAACCTTCTCTATCCACAGTATCCTCATCATTCGCTTGTAACACCACATTTCGAACACTTTCAACCTTTTCTTTTCCGCAGCGCCCACCGTCCATGTTTCGCACCCGTACAGCTCCGCGCTCCAAACATGCAC